TTTAAAATTTTGTCATGAAAGCTACATCACATTAGTAATGTATTCCTATTTTGAAAAAGTCCATGTTTAACCTATGAATTCATGATTGTTTGCCGTAGTGTTTAATAATTCATATGTTTTCTCCATTGTCTCAGGATTATCTTCATAAGTTGTCGTAACAAAACAAAACACAATTTAACAACAATAATCTCTCAAAAACATGTTTTTTTATTTTCCTGTTTTGTCAAAGGGAATTCTAATCCCCATATGTTTGCAACCTGAGGGTATACACCTTTTTATTTTAAATTTAGATAGTTTGATATTACATAATTCATAGTTTGAACTATTTAAGGATTAGAAAATCATAGTTGGTGACAAAGGATCAATTCCGTTATGAATAACAATGTACAATTTTACAGTATAATCCAACTTTTCCGTTCATGTATATTGTCAATTTCAGACAAAATAACGATTTTTGGTGTAACATCTAAAAAAAATATCGTTTGAATCTATTCAAAAACTATTACTCTTGCAGCATCTGAATTGAATTGTTTACGGCAACCTAAACCCTATTTTAATAAATAATATCAAAACTGTAATTAATAATAATTAATATAAAACCTTCTATTTTATGAGTTAGATAAAATATGAAGCCTCAAGCACAATATATCGAATACTATTGTCAGTAACTAGATCTTTTGCTTTTTAACAAAAAATTAACCTTTTCAACAAAACACATCAACTTGCCATATTGAATTGTTTTTTAATGATTTTTTATCAGTCGATTTTTTAGAAAACATTCAAACTCAATTGAATGATGAATCATGCAAATTAATTGATACAGCAATTAAATTGCATAAATGTTAGTTCAGAAATTTTTGTGTGGAAAAATTTGCAACTAAAAATTTGCAGATATTCGTAGTATTTAAAAACATATGCCATTTGCGCAATACATTTCTAAAACAAATAAAAAAAGATTGGTTAATGTGTAAAGTCAACACTAGATGGCAACTAGCTGAGGCTGAGAGGCTGTTCGGAGGATGGTGAAAGCAACACAATTAAGCAGAGTCATCTAACGGGAAAATAAGAAATAAAAGGAAAAACAAATTGTCTAATATTAAATTTTAATTAATTTTAATTTAATTAATAATATTAAATTTAAATTTTTCTAATATTAAATTAAATTTTTCCCATTAGAGAATGTGATTTCAAAAACTCCTTAAAAATGTATTTCTGAAAACAAACTGATCATTTTAAATAATCAAATCTATTTACTATTCAGGGTGTTTCAATAAACATGGAAATGCAAAGACGACATTAATTTCATCTTCATGTTGGATGTTTTTTATAAATGACAGGAAGCTTTCCCAAGTGGGTCTGTTTCTCCTTAAATTAATTGTGTAGGTCATGGAAAATCCCAAATTATTTTTTGGGATATCCTTAAAAACTTACTGTTGTTTTCAATTCAATCATTTGCCACAAACTCTTGATTTCTAAATCCTATATCTTTGCATCCCAATGTCGTAGACCTTATCGTAAACCATTAGTTCTGTTAAATCAAATAATCTAAGGTTGAAATATCAAAGGTTTACACCGTAAGGTTGCACAGACATAGGGATTAGAAAATCAGATTTTGTTAAAAAACACAATTCCTTTACTTAATTTGATCCATCTTGTCAAGGTCCTTGTTTCCGGTTTTAGTTCAAGCATTAAGCCTGAAACTGTTGAGACTTAGGAGCATAGATTAATAACAACACAGATAGATCACTAGGTGTAGTCTTTTCAAGATTTAGGTGTTTTTTGTTCACAATAACCCTGAGGCAGAAGCCAAAAGGAGTTACGCGTATGCTGCGTTGAATTACGAGACTAAGATACACCCTGTTCATCTGACTCCATTTGGCTTCTGTCTTAGGGTTCTTGTAAGCGAAAAAGCCCTAAATCTTGAAAAGACGACATCTAGTGTTATATCTGTGTTGTAATTAATCCATGATTCGGAGCAAAAAGATATTAATTTGTTCCTTTGAATCAATCTAATCCTACAAAGTACAGCTGGCTATGTCAGATTTAGACCTGAGACAAACAAATATAAATGTTGGGAATAAAACTTAAAAGTAAAATCATTTAATAGTGCTAAATGTTTTCGTATCTATTTTTGCATAAGGGTCATTACAAAACATAAGGGTCCACTCTTCAGAAAATTTTTCTCAAATTTTCAATTTTTTTAATATTTTTCTTGCCTCTAACAATGACCCTATAAGTTATACCATAGATTAATTAAATTAACAAATAGGGTACTATATGTCGTCTTTTCAAGATTTAGGGGTTTTAGTTTACAATACCCCTGAGACAGAAGCCCATGCTCTCTATCTCTGTCTTATCATTCTATGCAGCATGCAATAGAGTTGGGCTTCTGCCTCAGGGTTATTGTAAACGAGTTTCATCCAAATCTTGAAAAGTGTCCTATCTGTTATTTTAATTAATCTATGGGTTATAAAAATATGTTTATACATGGTCCTTGTATACCTCTTGTACCCCATAACCCGTTTACCAGATTTGATCTGGACGTTGGTAAACTAGGAAATCTTTTTGATTAATCAGTAAAGATATGGATATCAATATAAACAAACATATAATCTTGGTTATTGTCTACTGCAGATGTTGCCTTTATATGTGGAGCACTGGGAAGGGAGGATTGGAAAAAGGGGATGCCATATTCCATTCACAAGAGTTCTCTAGTATCTTTATTATTGGCAATCTATGGCCGTGGATTTTCTTGATCTTGACGAGGACAATAATGGCGGAGATATGTCTCATTTATTATCGGTAATTTTCTTGTTGCTGCAGTTTAGATGTACACTATACATTGTAACCCTTAAAGGAGGAGGCTGTAAAGACGAACTGAACCCAAGGTTTAATTAAGTTTTCTGCCGTGAATTTAGTCTCTTAATGGCTCGTTTAATGATTTGGCAAATAAAGAAACAAGTTTATAGTTGCAGGGAATCATGTATGTATATGTATAAGAAAACAGACAGTAGAGATTTTGTACAGTCGTCTCTGAAGTCTAATACTTTATGGATAACCCTGTATATAACAAGGGATAGTCTAACCCTGTATATAACAAGGGATAGTCTAACCCTGTATATAACAAGGGATAGTCTAACCCTGTATATAACTTATAATATAAAAATATATGAATAATGTGAGGGATAAGAATCCCAATATTGTTTCTGTATTTATATTCAATATGCCTGAATATTATATATGTGTATATACATACTGTAAAACCATTTACAGCCGGATATTTGATATCATAGGTTTTATTTAATCACAGCCAAGGAAGTTAAACCAGGAACCATTAAAATGTATATTAAGGATTCAGAAAGGAATGTAAACAAAGTTAGTGTGCCTTAAACACTTATTTAGTAAACAAATATATAAGAATTCCTGATGTACCTTCCTTGATCAAAGTATTCTTATGTTAAATGTGTTTTGTGTGACGGTGGGTGTACAATGTACATATAAAGAATTTGACAATAACACAAAAAAAACTTTTTTATCACTTTATTTTGAGTTTCGACCTAACCTTTGATACAAGTGGTGCTATGTCCTTCAATAAAAGTGGTACTATGTCCTCCGATAAAAGTGGTGCTTTGTCCTCCGATAAAAGTGGTACTATGTCCTCTGATAAAAGTAGCGCTATGTCCTCCATTACAAAGGGTGCTATGTACTCCGATACAAGTTGGGCTAGGTCTGTAGAAAATGCCGTACTCTTAAAACTGGTATAAGAATCCTATCAGTCCAGGTACAACTCGTAAAACTTTCAATGCCATACAATGAGCGTGATCTCATAGGCTCCGATGTCAACAAGGACATAAGGACGTAACTATCAATGCCAAACCAATGGGTACGATCTCATCAGCTCGTATGCTTCAAGGAGGAACAAATTACTTCTCTCACCGTAATCAAAGCAGAGTATATTCCAGCTAATGTGTATTTAGAAATCTATGTTACAAATTAACGTTAATTGATGTAATTACAAGTTTTATGTCGATATATATACAGCGTAGTTTAAGTTTCATGTACGTATTTACAAGATTAGTGTAGATTATTAACTAGCTGTAAATTCAAATATTAACTAGCTGGAAATTTTAATATGAACTAGCTGGAAATTTAATCATTAACTAGCTGGAAATTTAAATATGAACTAGCTAGGAATTTAAACATGAACTAGCTGGAAATTTAAACATTAACTAGCTGGAAATATAAACATTGACTAGCTGGAAATATAAACATTAACTAGCTGGTAATTTAAACATTAACTAGCTGGTAATTTAATCATTAACTAGCTGGTAATTTAAACATTAACTAGCTGGAAATTTAATCATTAACTAGCTGGTAATTTAAACATTAACTAGCTGTAAATTTAAATATGAAATAGCAGGAAATATAAACATTAACTAGCTGTAAATTCAAATATTAACTAGCTGGAAATTTTAATATGAACTAGCTGGAAATTTGATCATTAACTAGCTGGAAATTTAAACATTAACTAGCTGGAAATTTAAACATTAACTAGCTGGAAATTTAAACATTAAACATTAATTACGGGGTGTCCCACGAAACATGACAGTTGTTAAATAGTTTAGAATGTCTTCTTTCATAATTTTTTAAGTCTTTTGATACCAAATAAAATGCTAGAAATATTGTAAGGAAGTCATATATTATAGTAAAATTAATTTCATAGTAAAACATGTTTTAGGAAAAGATTATTTTAACGAAATAAACGGCAAACAGTCTTTATTACTTCATACAATACATTGAAGTAGACATTCAAAACTATTTACCAACTGTCATGTTTTGTGGGAAACCCTGTACCTTATTGACTGTATAAAACTTAAATACCGGAGTAGGTACAAAAAATGCCCAAAAAAAGCAAAAACTCAAAACGCACAAATAAAAATTTAAACATTTCTCCAAACAATAAAATCTGTTTCACCAAAAACTATTTATGTTTTTTGATGTTCTGTTGCACTGGGCGTTTTGTTGAATTGGGCGTTTTTCTATTGGACATTTTATTGATTGGGCGTTTTGTTTATACCTCAGACACACACTCATTTTGTACGGACAAACAAACGTTAGACAGGGATCAATTTCCAACCCCTAGGACCAACCTTGAAATAGCAGGAGTTTCTAAAGAAGATCTTTCAATATTTGTGTAGAACCAACCTAAAAAAGTTCATGATACAATTCACAGAATTTTGGTTTTTGTTGGTGATTTTTTGAAAATGTAAAAAATCTATAAACAGAGTCCAATTACATGAAAAACATTACACAAATCGCGCGCATTATGATCTGAAAACCTGTGATCTGTTTACGAAGGGTTCTGATTGAAAATCAAGCTGAATTGAAACAATAAAAAATATGTTTTAAAGTTTTTTAAATCCTGGGATTAACGACCTGACAACCCATGATTTTTCATGGTTGCTTGGTTTGGAGTAATTGAGAATATTATACTTTATTGCTTAATAAACTTTTGATTAAAATAGTTTCATTTAGAATAAAGTTCATAGTGAATAATATTGCACTGTAGATACATAAAGCTAAACTTTACATTAATAGCATCCGGCAGTTTAGATATTAAATCTAGAAATTTAGAGATTTTAACATTAAATTTCTAAAATTTCTGAACAATCAGATGCTATGCTGTTTGAACTGCTGGATGTGAAAGTGTTTCCAATGAATGCAGAGTATCTGTATATTTAGTTTTTAAAAAAATTGATAAGGTAAATGAGGACGCTTTAAAACCTTTTTGGAAATATTTTTAGAAATTGTATTGATTTATAGATGTTAGATATCCATAGAAAAATAAACAATAGTTCAAAAGTTTTTTCCGTTCAAAAACCATACTTGCAAAAGCATAAAACAATATAAAGAGATAATTAGTTTTTTTTACAAGCAATTAAAAACATGATATTTGGACTTTTTTAATGTTTGCTTGGTAACTAAACTGTTAGGCATTGAAATCATACAAATTGTTGTCTTGTTTTAAATTTTTTACTTATCAGATCAATATTTTTAGGAATTATGTATAAAATTTTGATAATTTAATCTGAGACCTGAGAACTCTCTACAGAGAGTGTAGAATAATTTCTTAGAACTAATGAAAACTAATCATAAAATGAAAATTTGTTTAATACCCCCCCTGGCAGATAAACTTAGACTTTAAATTGAAATAGAAGTATCAAATAGAAGTTAGTAAATTAATAAGTTCATAGAACATCTTGTATTTTCATTCATTTTATGATTAAACTAGCTTGGGAACTCAGCGTTGCCCAGGTTACTCATGGTTACTCCCGCCGTTTACCCGAGCTTGGTCGTAAATTACTATTTTAGCTATTTTTCCCTTAATAAGTGAGTTAATAAGTGGGTTATTAAGTGAACCCACTCAAGTTAGAATCTCAAAACCACGCTAAAAACATTCCCGTTGTTTCCCCCCTCCCCCTTCACCCCAACCCAATCAAAATCGGACATACAAACAAACAGACAAAGAGAGCAAACAGAGATTACAACTTTATATAGATAATGGTTGCAACCTTTACAAATCGTGGTTTAGACAGAAAAATGGGTCTAAGAGGTATCATGATAAAATAATAAATCGATTGATACTTTTCATTTCTATCCTGTGTTTTTGTAAAGAGAGTTTCAACTTTTTCTTTGATCACAAAATGTAAAGACCGTCCCTAATTTTAATGATCTACAACAGTGTTTCCTATGTGGCTCGGGTTTTCAAAAAAAAATTCAAATATATAAATATATAAATATATAAATTGCGCATTTTCAAAGATAGAATTGCGGATTTTTAAGTTTTTTAAGTTTTCGAATATAAGCTGCCTACTTTTGAAAGTTAAAACTGCATTTTAGAGCGAAATGTTAAATTGACGACCCTTCATAAATGTACTGGAAGCACTATCTAGTATGCGAAAAAGTTTAACCTTTTTTCAGAGACACCCTGTTTGAAAAACAATTGTACCACATTTTTGTGCATTCTTAGCAAATTTTTGGAATTGTCTTGGTTGTAATAAATTCCATAATTTGCCAGACTGCTTCTGTTATGAAACTAAGATAAACTTATCAAGAATATGCACTATGCACAAAAGCAATCTACAATTTACATGCACATTGCAATTTTGACATAAGTGCTGTTAGGTTAAAATCAAATTTTGCATGGGTGAGGTACTTGTTCAGCATGAGTCATTTCTTTTTATTAATCTCTAAAAGCAAAGGATCTAGTATAACCCCAAAGGTGCTTGTGGGACTCAATGCAGCAGGTACTGTTGTGAATCAGGGAAGCTCCTTTTTAAATGGAAGATCTCTTAAAATTACGCGTATAGTCCCTTTAAGTAACTAACATTTACCTGAAGTTATAACACAAGCCAGTGCTAGCCCAGCAAACAGCCAAGTCATACCACCAATCTTCTCTCCCTCTCTCTTATCGATGTAAGAATACCATAGCTTACAGTAGATGTAGTACATGAAGTACATCTGCATATTGAGCATGAGGATGAGTAGGATGTATGAGGACACCCCTGGACTGTGTGTAACCAAGATATATACTGCCAGGCTAATGTTTGCTATCAATACAAATATGACAGGTTTAAAACATTCTAAATTCCACTCAGCTGGGGTTACAAGTTTTTTAAGATTTTCCCATGAGAATTCCAGAATAGTTGAAAGTCCTCTTGTACAATAGATCTGTACTATTGCAACATAAACTATCACTAGGTAGGAAAGAATAAAAATGACCCAGAAAACAATATGATCAACAAAATATCCTATGACTTCAACAACCAGGATAAAGCTGATCAGAAGATAAGTTGTCCGGGGGGATGGAGTAATGTCTGAATGTCTGAATTGAAATACTTTCAGAAATATGAGAAGAGATAAAGCGTACATGAAGGTTGTGTCAAACTGGAAATTGATATTTGTTGGGCAGATGTGGAAACATGCACTAAGGATTCCTTCTCCTATAGAAGCTCCTGCCATAGCAAAGTATATTCCAAACTGTTCAGGGATTCCTGTATCATTCGGATGAATAACAGCGTGATTATCTGATTCTATTTCCATAAACTTGTTAATATAATCAAGATGGATTTTTCTTCTATAGAACACTATACACACAAATGCTATACCAAATATGATGTAACCTATGTTGCTGAAAACATGTCCAAAGTCTAGAATAGGACCAACTTCGTTCAAGCATTCAAAATTAAAGTAGCAGATATCGAGGTCACCTTGAAAATATGAAAAAATTATTTACAGTGTAAGTTTTCTAACTCATTAATTACTTAATTGAAAATGATGATACCAAATATAAAAACATTTTGACAATTATTTACGTTTACTACTTTTTAGCTATTTTTATCATGAATTCTGTTAGATTAAATAGTTAAAATGTCAAAGGATTACACCATCAGGTTGCAAAGGTAAATGAATTTTAAAATTTTAGTTTTGACAAAAACTCAGTTCCTTTTTAATATAAATATTTAATATTAATGAATCTAGTTTAAAAAAACTCACCTGTATTCACAACGTTCTCTTGATGTGCAAAGACGAGCTGGATAACTGGTAGAGTATAGAACACACCCATCATAATTATCAACCAAACATAGTTCTCAGTATCTCTCTGGGTATATTTACTAAATATACTGTTATCTACCAGCATTAATGAGTAATTAGATACACTTGGACTCTCCTTAGATCTCAGTTCAATTACTGTCTTTTTATCCATTAGAATCCATTGTTCTGTTCGACTGTGGACATCCGCATCATCTAGTTTAATACCATAGTACATCCGCCTTCTATTCTTTACTCTAGTTGATACCTTATTCTTGTCTGTTTCATCCTCATTTCCTTTCTTTAGAAGATCAATAATATCCTTTCTAGTATCATGATCCATGCTCTGCTCCATCTCTATATCTTGGTTTTCAGTTGAAAGATCTGGTTTATACCTATAACAGCAGTAGCTGACTACCCAGGATAGAAGGACTATAATAAATGAAGTTGCTAGAACAAGGACTATAGACATCCATCTGTAGTCTTCCATCTTCTCTACTGTAATCGAAACCATTCCACTCCTGCTGATGTTGAAATTAGATTAGTCTCCGGAAAACAAATTTACTCTATAAATAAGAAAAAGAAAACCTTTCCATCTCGTATTGGAGATTTGTGGTGTTAGAACATTTCTCCGGGTTGTTGGAGTGGAGTAGGGTTATTATCAATCCCCTTTTTCTTCCAACTTGAGAGGCAGGGATAGATCCTCTCTCTAGGAATGTTAGATGCTTCCTTCCATATCCTCCCTGAATTATAAAATGTAATGTACGAAAAGTTGAGATGTGACAGAATAGCTATTAATTAATTGCTATCAGATCTATAAAATTTTTAATGCAATCCAATGTTGTAGACCATAGATATTTTAAACTCCGAATTCTGTTAGATCTAATAATCTAAGTTTGAAATATCAAAAGTTTACACTTCCAGGCTGCAAAGACATAATGGATTAGAAAATTTTAGAATGTGCCAAAGACATATAGTCTGACTTAAGATTTTTTTAAGAATTAACCGTCACATCTTAAATTTCAAACTGGGTGAACAGTCTCTGAAGCCAATTTTATATTTGAGGTTGGGTTAGATCCAGAGAAATAAAATATTTAGAATCCTCTGCTACATTTTAAATTTGATTTACCTTGAGATCTGAACTTGTTTCCGCTAGATCCTCCTCTTCACACATACTTCCAGGTTGCACTGATAATACACCACACACAGGGGTAGATTCATTCATTACTCTACCATCATACATATTCATTATTCATTACTATACCATCATACATATTCATTATTCATATACATATTCATTATTCATAACTCTACCATAATACATATTCATTATTCATTACTATACCATCATACATATTCATTATTCATTACTCTACCATCATACATATTCATTATTCATTACTCTACCATCATACATATTAATTATTCATCACTCTACCATCATACATATTCATTATTCATTACTCTACCATCATACATATTCATTATTCATTACTATACCATTATGCATATTCATTATTCATTACTATACCATTATACATATTCATTATTCATTACTATACCATTATACATATTCATTATTCATTACTCTACCATCATACAAATTCATAATTCAATACTCTACCATCATACATATTAATTATTCATTACTATGCCATCATACATATTAATTATTCATCACTCTACCATCATACATATTCATTATTCATTACTCTACCATCATACATATTTACTCTACCATCATACATATTCATTATTCATTACTATACCATCATACATATTAATTATTCATCACTCTACCATCATACGTATTCATTATTCGTTACTCTACCATCATACATATTCATTATTCATTACTCTACCATCATACATATTCATTATTCATTACTCTACCATCATGCATATTCATTATTCATTACTCTACCATCATACATATTCATTATTCATTACTATACCATCATACATATTCATTATTCATTACTCTACCACCATACATATTCATTATTTATTACTCTACCATTATTAATATTCATTATTCATTCATAACTCTACATATTTTTTGGTTTCAGAACTTTGTTGAAGATATGTTCCTTATTAGAACTTCTTCAGTTTTATCTGTAAACTCGTAGAAAAAAACTTTTCTTGAGTTGGAACTAATCATCACGTTGGAGACTGTCTTATCTTTTTCAAGAACAAACTGCTGAGGCCTGAACATAAACAATATTCACTCTTTTAACCTTTCCAGATAATTCCACTTTAAAACCTTCGAACTTTTGTGTTCGTTTTATCTCGATATCCAAAATGGGAAGTTCTAATTTGAGGAACAATGCAAAACTATACTTTTCCATATCTTCATTTTAGTTATGCCTCCCCTGATCAAATCTTCATTAAGCCCCTGATTGGGTATAATTAATTAAACTTAAGTTAAAGTTGCGGGGTTTTAAAATCTTTATTTCAAAGCTTATCCTGTGTATAAAAATATTCAGACTAAAATAAGCAATAAAGAATGAAGTTAGAGGGTGCTTTGATGTTTATACTTTAAGTATATAATCAAAAACTTTTTCTAGACATTTTTCTTTTTTAAAAATAAAAATGGGTTTGCAAACGCGAATGGAAAATATTTTTCCTTGAATGATGATACAATCCGTAGAAAATGTAGTTAAGATAAATTTATTTTTAGAAATAAAATTTAGAATTCTTTGAAAATATTTCTTCAATCTGCAGCAATACCTTCAACAAATCCGGGGTCTTTTACAAGTTAGATTTTATTTACAGAGGTTTCATTTCAACAATAGAGACAGCTAACAAAACAGAGAGCTGATTTCTATTGTTTACCTCAGCATTATTCTAAAGGAGAGCTGATTTCTATTGTTTAATTTAACATTATTCTGTAGGAGAGCGGATTTCTATTGTTTAACGTAACATTATTCTTTAAGAGAGCTGAATTCTATTCTTTACCTTAATATTATTCTATAGGAGAGCTGATTTCTATTGTTTACTTTAACATTATTCTGTAGGAGAGCTGATTTCTATTGTTTAACGTAACATTATTCTTTAAGAGAGCTGATTTCTATTGTTTACCTTAATATTATTCTATAGGAGAGCTGATTTCTATTGTTTACCTTAGCATTATTCTACAGGAGAGCTGATTTCTTTTGTTTACCTTAACATTATTCTATAGGAGAGCTGATTTCTATTGTTTACTTTAATATTATTCTGTAGGAGAGCTAATATCTATTTTTTACCTTAATATTATTCTATAGGAGAGCTGATTTCTATTGTTTAGTTTAATATTATTCTAAAGGAGAGCTGTTTTCTATTGTTTACTTTAATATTATTCTATGGGAGAGCTGATTTCTATTGTTTACCTTAATATTATTCTATAGGAGAGCTGATTTCTATTGTTTACTTTAATATTATTCTAAAGGAGAGCTGATTTCTATTGTTTACTTTAATATTATTCTATGGGAGAGCTGATTTCTATTGTTTAACGTAAAATTATTCTTTTAGAGAGCTGATTTCTATTGTTTACCTTAATATTATTCTAAAGCAAGAGCTGGTTTCTATTGTTACCTTAATATTATTCTATAAGATAGCTGATTTCTATTGTTTAACGTAACATTATTCTTTAAGAGAGCTGATTTCTATTGTTTACCTTAATATTATTCTATGGGAGAGCTGATTTCTATTGTTTAACGTAACATTATTCTTTTAGAGAGCTGAGTTCTATTGTTTACCTTAATATTATTCTAAAGCTAGAGCTGGTCTCTATTGTTTACCTTAATATTATTCTATAAGATAGCTGATTTCTATTGTTTAGTTTAATATTATTCTATAAGATAGCTGATTTCTATTGTTTACCTTATTATTATTCTATAGGAGAGCTGATTTCTATTGTTTACTTTAATATTATTCTAAAGGAGAGCTGATTTCTATTGTTTACTTTAATATTATTCTATGGGAGAGCTGATTTCTATTGTTTAACGTAACATTATTCTTTAAGAGAGCTGATTTCTATTGTTTACCTTAATATTATTCTATAGGAGAGCTGATTTCTATTGTTTACTTTAATATTATTCTATGGGAGAGCTGATTTCTATTGTTTAACGTAACATTATTCTTTAAGAGAGCTGATTTCTATTGTTTACCTTAATATTATTTTATAGGAGAGCAGATTTCTATTGTTCACTTTAATATTATTCTAAGGGAGAGATGATTTCTATTGTTTAACGTAGCATTATTCTTTAAGAGAGCTGATTTCTATTGTTTACCTTAATATTATTCTAAAGGAGAGCTGAGTTCTATTGTTTACCTTAAAATTATTCTATAGGAGAGCTGATTTCTATTGTTTACTTTAATAACATTCTAGAGGAGAGCTGTTTTATATTGTTTACCTTAATATTATTCTATAGGAGAGCTGATTTCTATTGTTTACTTTAATATCATTCTAGAGGAGAGCTGATTTCTATTGTTTACCTTAATATTTTTCTATAGGAGAGCTGATTTCTATTGTTTACCTTAATATTTTTCTATAGGAGAGCTGATTTCTATTGTTTACCTTAATATTATTCTATAGGACAGCTGATTCCTATTGGTAGTGCTGATGCTCAACCTAAAAACAAAAATTAACTAATTTCAGCTTTTTAAAAAGTGAAAATTTAAAAACTTTTTAAAAAACTAATTGTGGCTTTCTTTTAGTTCCGCCAGAAAAGACGACATTTCACTAAATAATAATTGTAATTGTATATGGCACAATTAAGAATCGTTATAAACGGTAAAACATTTTATTTACCTAATAATATCGTCTGAGGGACATAGAGTTCTCTCGGAGTAATTACTAAAGCTATGTCGTCTATTTAAATATATAGTTAGATACTTTTATCATCTCAGTGACAAAGATCCTGCCAGAACAAACAGAGAAATAAATTGTCATTTGAATCGTCTTCGATTATAAAAACATTCCCTAAATGTTGTAAATAATTTATAATATTAGGTACATATCAATTATTCATTCATTAGTCCACTTGGTAATCTACAGTTTCGTAATGATAATTTAAATAAACTGTCTTATCTAAGTTTGAGGTTTTAAACAAACATTCTACTCATCTTTCAATTCTATTTCCTAATTGATTTAAATCAAGTATAATCATAAAAAATAATTCCCTTTCAAAAATGTCGCGAGTGCAAGGTTTTTTTTATAGCATGATTTTAGATTTAATGTTAAGCTAAAAATCTATTTTTTTCTTTTTTTTTGTATTTTAAATTCTCTAACTTTCCTTGACGGTAAACTCCAGTATCCGGCGCCAGTGTCTCGAGCCATAAATTCTAAGAATAATCGATTCAAAATTTAATTTTTATTCAACATTTTCACTGGTTTGAAGAATAAATAAGAATAGTGTACACTAGTTTCATTTTAGATTTAAGATTAGATTTGTATCTTTCATGTTTAGGGGGGGGGGAGGTGGGGAGTGAAGAAATGGATAATAGGATAGTTTCTAAAATGTTATGTTACAAATTCAAGATGTTACCTCTAGGCACCTTATCACAAAATGTGCTATAAGAGAAAAATGTTATAATGTAACCATGTAACCATATTACAAAGGTTATGTTACGCAAGAAAAATGTCACCATGGAACCGTGTTACAAAAGTGCAATGTTACATTAGAAAATTGTTAATATTTAACATATAAAAAAAGTAAGGTTACATGCAAAAAACGTCACCATGGAACCATGTTTCAAAGTGTAATGTTGCATGAGAATGTTGTTACTATGGAACCATAAAACAAAAGTAATATTACATGAGAAAAATGTTACCAAGGATACATGTTACAAAAGTTATTCTACATTTGAAACACATTACAAATGTTTCGGGTGTAGAGGAAGAAATCCCCGAAAGAGGATTATGAAATCCGCAAATGAATGGTGTCGGATCTTGGAACTAATGAAGACCTACTCAACTTCCTCTCCTTTTATACACTCGTTATTTATCATGTAATTATATCTAGAAGCAATAAATGTACTTCTAAAAGGGTTAATTAAATTAGGAACAACTCATTTTGATCTGTCTCTTGTATAGTATACAGTCTGGTCCTGACAGTTCGATTTATCCACTGATTGCTGGTTCCTCAGTATCTAAGGAATTATCTTATATACCGATTACTCCGTTAAGGAAGGTTTTATTATTTAAGAAGGGATTTTAATCCTAATTTAGAGGGAAGTTTACTCCTTTACAGAAGTTTTACTTCTTTCCAGGGGGATTTCAATCCTCTAACGAGGGAATTTACTCCATTAAGGTTGGATGTATTCCTTAAAGGGTGGATTGAATCCTGCAGGGGAAATTTAATCCTTTAAGGGTGGATTTTACTCCTTTAAGGGTGAATTTTAATTCTTTAAGGGTGGATTGAATCCTTTAGGGGTGAATTTTAATTCTTTAAGGGTGGATTGAATCCTTTAGGGGGAAATTTAATCCTTTAAGGGTGAATTTTAATTCTTTAAGGGTGAATTTTAATTCTTTAAGGGTGGATTGAATCCTTTAGAGGGAAATTTAATCCTTTAAAGGTTGATTTTATTCCTTTCAGGGGAATTTTAATCATTTAAGGGGGGATTTAATCCTGTAAGGGGGATTTTAATCCTTTAAAGAGGGATGTTACAATTTCAAGGGGGGATTACATTCCTCTAAGGAGGCAATTTACTCCATGAAGGTGATATTTTACCACATTAAGGGTGAAATTTTTACCCCATTATAATGGGCATTTTACTCCATAAAAGGGAGAATTTACTCCTTTAAAGAGGGTAGATTTTACTCCTATCATGGTTGATTTTGCTCCCGATTAGAAACCTTTACCCTTTAACCTTGCATATTTTATTTATTATTTTTTTACCTTTTTTCATGCATTTTTTTCTCAAGTAAATAAAAGTTGTATTTTTAATAAAGATTTTAATAACAAATATTTAGTTTGTTAAGTAGTTTTAATGTTTAACAGGGTTTAGATATTTCCCGCCTCCAGGGTGTTCAGAAATATCAGGGTTAGCTCAGCTTATTAGGAAAATCTTTATAATATTCTTCTTTAAATTCCTTTATCTTAGCAACCTTATGGTGTAAACCTTTGATATTTTAAACCTAAACTATTTAATCTAAAGTTTAAAAGATATAAGAATTAAGAATTAGAGTTTATGACAAATAAATTTAAAAAAAAAGAATTTGTTAATTTTTCTGTGTTCAGTGAATCAGTATCCTATACCTAAAATAATAGAACATTTCTCTTTAATTTAGCGAAAATATTTTACTAAATATCAATCATTTATGACGTAAACTTGTCTTGAAGATTGCAGATTTGTTACTATATTCTCTTCCAGGTATTATTAAGCTTCTACATTTAATTTATATATTTTATATTTAATATATTTAAGTTGAGTGTGTCATATTTTATATTCCGAACACCTATTTACAGTGGTGAGTGTCAACAGATTACTGTACAATGGTTGCCGTCTTGTTGTTTCTTTCAATCATAGAATGTCGTGTAAGGTTTATTTAAAAAAAATCCTGTAACATTTTCTAACATTTCTAATTTTCTAATTCCTATGTCTTTACAACCTAACAGCGTACACATTTGATATTTCAAACTTTGATTATTTGATCTAACAAAATTTATAGAAGAAAATATCTATGGTCTACGACCAACATTGGGTTGCATATATGTAGGGATAAGACCATCCTTCCGCAATTAAAAGAAGCAACAAAGACGAAAATCATTCCACCGTTTTATGATTACCACTGTATGTAACCTTTACTTCAATTGCTTGCCAAAATAAATGTACAATAAATTAATTCTCTTTTGGAAGTGGCTGAAGTAATGCATATTAAATATTAAATAATGGCCGAATTTCATAAATTTGAGCTAGGTTTGGAGACGGTTTAACACCATATCTTTAATCGGTGATTTAGGGTTTGTCCATGATCTATCATAGTTTAGAATTGGGATGCAGGGTGCATTAAGATAGTTAAATCAGCGAAAGGTAGTTTAGCGAGTTAGCTCAAATTAATCGAGTTTTGGCACTGCTTAATAATAGCTTCTCAGTTTACTCATACTCCATTTTTCCAATCCTTTATTTTTCAATATTTTTAAACCTGATTTTTAGACCTTTATTATTTCAAACCATGAATTGTACAACATACAGTAGTCTAAGTTTGTATTATTAAGCTTTAAAAGTTGACACCATCACGTTCTAATAAAAAATAAGGGAGTTCCTAAAATATTTATAAAAGGTTCCTACCTATCGGGTGCTCAGTTACATCTTTAAAGAACAGCAAAGTTGAATTATCAATTTCAGGGATAAGCAAATCATCTTCAGTCTGCATAAAGGAAATATAAATAACAACTTTAGAATAAATCATATAAAATACAGGGGATAGGTAGAAAGGATTTAATTTAGGGGAGACCGAAGACTTTTTATTTCAAGCAATTTTTTTGGATCTTTAAACTTTGAATTTAAATAAGGATTAAAACAATATTTTTAAACGGTATAATAATACAAATGAAAGCCGCAATTTAAGAACCGAAATCATTTTTCTAAATTAATTCTTGATGAGATTTCTACTTGGAACCTGTTAAATAATGCAAATCCGACCTGGGACCTGTTTAATAATGAGAATCCTTCCCGGGACCTGTTATATAATGAGAATCCTATCTTGGACCTGTTTAACAATGAGAATCCTTCCCGGGACCTGTTATATAATGAGAATCCTACCTGGGACCTGTTTAATAATGAGAATCCTACCTGGGACCTGTTTAATAATGAGAATCCTACCTGGGACCTGTTTAATACTGAGAATGAAGAGATGAGACTAGAGTTTATCCATGTAGGGGTGAACAGTTCAGTTCTAAGGTTTAGAGCAAGACTGGAGAACTCATGTGTACTTATTTCTAGAATCAAACTTGTAAATATTTTTATAAAACCAAGATTAAAACTAAATTAAAGGCCCGTCTAAAAATATAATAAAAATGAAAAGTGAAAATGATTTTTTTGATAATTTTATTTGAATGATTGATTACCTATTCAGTGCGTTATTATTAAATCTACATAAAATGTGTAAATAAAATATGAAATAATTTTTTGGATGTCTTAAAGCACTAGTTAAAGAATCCAAGCAAACAGACATGGAAGTTAGAAGAAGAAATAAAAGGATGCAATATTTGTTTACTAAAATAACAAAATTGTAAACAAATGACGGAAGTAAGGTATAGGAAGGCCGGACATGTTGTATGTTTGCTAACAATTTTGTGCCTTTAAATTATTTATTTTCATTTGCGGTTTCTCTGTAAAAGTTACTTGTGCATTCCTTATTTTTAAAGCAAAATTTGTAGTCTTAAAATCGACGGTAGTTATCACTTTTTGATCAGATAAAGGTCGGTTTCAAGGGTAGTGTTGTAAATCGGGCATTGCCATCTTTGCATGGAGGGTTACTTTAAATGTGCACAAACCCTATTCACTGTAACTTTAGTTTACATATAGCTTGAATTGAGTGAGTAAAGGGTCGAAAGCTCCCTAAATTTTATGTCGAATCCAATCCGATGGTTTTCAGTAAATTCCCCTTTTCCAAATTATAAATCAGACGATTTAAAATGCGGGTGTCAGATCTCATTTCAAACTGCTAATTGCATCAATTTCAAACAGAATATTTTATATTTTTTATTTTTTCCATCCATCCTAACTTGTCAGTCCCCCTCCTCCCCCTTGATATGAAAAGAATCTGATTAAAAAACTGACTGAAGAGAACTAAAGTTGTATTAAAAGTTCTCCCTATGAGTTGTGGAGTTAAGGAACTAACTTTTCCATTTATAATCTGCTCCGGGTGGTTTGGATACACGTCCAGGTGTCGGGTTTCAATCTCAAACCCTCTCCTTCCTAATCATCAATAAACTTGTTAGGAACATCTATCGTTGTGTTAGAAATATATAATCAACACTTTGATACAAGTTTTTATTCATCTATAGAATATAGGCAAATAGTTGTTTAGAATTTTCGCACAGAATTTATAAATTTGGAATAGAGAAGAAGAAATAGCTAAAATGTTTTTATTTGATCTATTTTAGGAAGAAAAATCATTCAAAATATACTTTTCCCGCGTATAGTCATGTAAAACTCTATAAGTGCTAAATAAATGTTATTAAAATATTTGTAAAATTTATATCGTTGTGTTAAAAATATCGAAAATTATGAAGAGACAATTCGACATATCACATACTTTGATTTAACTGTGTATTAATGATCCGATAGAATAATCTAACGTTCTTTTAAGATTACAGACCAAATGTTAAATCGTCGAAGATCACTTTGATAGCATTTCATCCAAGCACAACACCTTGTATGATGAAGTTTAGAGTGAAAACAAAATGTAATTTTTTGCAGAGACGAAACAGAATACACTTTCTAGAGTAATGACGTCAAAATCCTAAAAAAAACCAGACATAAAAATCGGAATAGAGGGTCACTTGAGATTTGGCGTACAGTCCCTTTAAACAAAGTGATTGCCTGGGAGGAAGGAGAGAAAGAGAATAATCAGACCAAGCATATTTGGAATACTGACAAACTGTTTTTTATAAATCATTCAAACGGAGAGATAAGAATTCTCTATCAGTCAGTCTAGTCTCAACTTTACAAACATTCTTTATCTGTTTGCGATCTCAACTTTACAAATATTCTTAACCCAGTAACAGTTTTACTACTTTTATGTACAACTATATAGCACTAGGTCTAGAAGTTAAATAGTTCACTTGTATTGTTTGTTTAAATAATATGTCCTTTGTTTACCATGGATATTTTGTTGTATTTAAATTGTCAAATGTCAAACGTCTTTCTTCAACAATGAAAAGAAATTAGATTCTTTTAAAATCATTTAAGAACGTTTGAATAAAAAAGTTTAGTCGCGGTTTCCATATTTTTTGATTTAATTGATTAACGTTTACGATGTAAAGAAAATAGCACTTTTCAAAGAAATTATCTTCTTCCCTGAATCCTTTTTGCTTTTAGCAACCGAACATTCAATAGTTGTCAGAGATGCCTTAATTATTTTCTTCATTTTAGACATATTTTATCCGTTTCTCTTCAATAAGATTAATCTCTTTTTCATGACACTTTCTAATGATTCTAAAATGAATATGCTCGGGTTTAAATAGTTAAAATTCCCCCTAATTTGTCCTGGTGCGTCCTTCTTCTTAATTTATTAAATCCTGCCTTTACTGCTTGTCAGATACTAACTTCTAGTCGGCAATTAGAGCTTCAGTTAATCAAAATATCATTTCAGAAATTCGTCAAGCTTTAGTTTTCATTCTGCGGGTAAAAAGATATGACCTTTAACTGCTATGCGTTATACGTACGTAGTAAACAAACAATGTAATTTCAAGTTATACCTTTTATTTATCTTCACCAAATTCACAACAAAACCCTTTAAACCTTTATCTGATAAGTAATGCACAAGATATCGTCATTTTTTTTAGCATGAAAAGTGTTTATTCTTACAATTTCCGCCTTTGTTTCTAAAGCAGTTGGAAATGTACATTTTTTAAAAAGAAAATAATGGATATCTCATGCCTTCTTGATTGATCAGAAAAAGCGTTTAATAGGTTCGTTTGGACTTCAATATTCCAACATATAAACTTTATATTATGGTTACAGTTCCTTCAATATTCCAACATATAAACTTCATATTATGGTTACAGTTCCTTCAATATTCCAACATAGAAACTTTATATTATGGTTACAGTTCCTTCAATATTCCAACATATAAACTTTATATTATGGTTACAGTTCCTTCAACATTCCAACATATATACTTTATATTATGGTTACAGTTCCTTCGTAAAGAAAATAACACAGAAAAAAGGGTGTTAAGCGTAGAGAATTTAAAACTTCTAATCATCTCGACAAATGAAATTGAAATATTTCAGGTTTTCAATGGATTTCATTGCATGAGCGATATTTCATGCGAAATATGAAATAGCTAGGTTCTACAGTATCACAGAAAACAGATTCTTATAACTTAATCTTTTTCGTTTTTTCAAAGTGTAAGAGTGTAATTTTGAAATATTTCTATTCAATAGATGATGCTGTTCTCCTATTTTCATGGAAAATATCTTGAATTTTTCATCTAAATTGAGCGGGGTCAAAGTGTCAGATAAAGCATCCCCTCCCCTTCCCTCCACATTTCCCAAACTTATAGTTGTACTCAAGAAACTACTATTCACAGTGCATTCACAGGGGTAGGTGGTGAAAATAACATGAGTTTCACAATTTTTAAATGAAATGTTTTTAAATGTCGAACATAAAGAAAATAATCAATGGTTACATTAAAATTAGAAATATATTCGATATTTACATTAAAATTTAGGAATATATTAGATATTTACATTAAAATTAGAAATATATTAGATATTTACATTAAAATTAGAATTATATTAGATATTTACATTAAAATCTAGGAATATATTAGATATTTACATTAGAATTAGAAATATATTAGATATTTACATTAAAATTAGAAATATATTAGATATTTACATAAAAATTAGAAATATATTAGATATTTACAATAAATTTTAATCTTTGTCAGTTTTAAGATAGTATTTTATATAATTACTATTTGATTCAAAATACTGAGACCCCAAAAAACTGTGGAAAAGGAAGACGAGGATTTTTAATAATCCATTAACATAAAACACAGCAGTGTACTGACACCGACACTTTATACTTAATAAGTTGATCTTCAACCTGCGGGTGAAACTGTTTGTCTTATTACTATGGTCTGACTATACAATTCCTTTGTTTACAACAAAATGCCGGGCCATGAATTTCGAAGACGATTTATCAATCTGCAGTAAAGTAATTAAGGTTTTGCCACAAACTCTGATTTCACAGACAGCTTTAATACATTTGAATTTCCGAGCCGGGTCAAACTTTCCGGTCCCAGTTTGTACTGTATCTAGCTCAAGGGACAGGACTAGCCGGTGCAACAAGGTTGACGTGGTCAGACTTTGTGCTTCATATAGGTTGAATAATGAATTTACTTTTACTAAAGGGGCAGATTTGCGTGATTTATAATCTTTGTCTTTGAAAACCAAAAACCTTAAATATCTCAAACTATGAATTTTGTTAGGTCAAATAATCTAGATTTGAAATATTGCAAAGATTTGTCTACACCATCAGGTTGCAAACATATCTGGATTAGAACATTTGAGTTAGTTGCTAAGGCTCATTCCTACCCATGTTTTTTTGGGCACAATAAAAAATATGATGTTAATATTAATTTTTACGCTACTCATACAGTTTTTCTTTAGAAAATATTTAAATCTTGAGCTAAGAACTGTTTGATCTAACTTGATGGAAAATATTTAAATCTTGAGCTAAGAACTGTTTGATCTAACTTGGTGGAAAATATTTAAATCTTGAGCTAAAAACTGTTTGATCTAACATGGCGGAAAATATTTAAATCTTGAGCTAAGAACTGTTTGATCTACCATGGTGGAAAATATTTAAATCTTGAGCTAAGAACTGTTTGATCTACCATGGTGGAAAATATTTAAATCTTGAGCTAAAAACTGTTTGATCTAACATGGCGGAAAATATTTAAATCTTGAGCTAAGAACTGTTTGATCTACCATGGTGGAAAATACCTAAATCTTGAGCTAAGAACTGTTTGATCTAACTTGGTGGAAAATATTTAAATCTTGAGCTAAGAACTCTTTGATCTAACTTGGTGGAAAATATTTTAAGCTTGAGCTAAGAACTGTTTGATCTAACTTGGTGGAAAATACCTAAATCTTGAACTAAGAACTGTTTGATCTAACTTGGTGGAAAATATTTAAATCTTGAGCTGAGAACTGTTTGATCTACCATGGTGGAAAATATTTAAATCTTGAGCTAAGAAGTGTTTGATCTAACATGGTGGAAAATACCTAAATCTTGAACTAAGAACTGTTTGATCTACCATGGTGGAAAATACCTAAATCTTGAACTAAGAACTATTTGATCTACCATGGTGGAAAATACTTAAATCTTGAGCTAAGAACTGTTTGATCTACCATGGTGGAAAATATTTAAATCTTGAGCTAAGAACTGTTTGATCTAACATGGTGGAAAATACCTAAATCTTGAGCTAAGAACTGTTTGATCTACCATGGTGGAAAATATTTAAATCTTGAGCTAAGAACTGTTTGATCTAACATGGTGGAAAATAAACATCAATCTTTTGAGTATAAAGTTCAGAGCAAAGTTGGCTTTTGATCTGTTGCTTTAATTCTAGGTGTATCCCAGGATACCAGAATCCTAGGGGGGAAACTTAAAACTTTTATACAAACTTTAACTTTTTAAAACCTTCATATTTAACAAAGTTTAAAACCTATTCAATATTAATACAGCATATTTATCATCTTGATCATTTTTCCACTTTTTTTTATTTAAAAATCTAGGGGACTTAAATAAACAGAAGTATAAATCGCATAATAGATTTAAGATTTAGTTAGCATACATTTCTTTGTGTTGAATAATTCAATTTTCTGATTGCTGTCTGTGGGTAGAGAAAATTATGCTTTGAACCAAAATTTCAAAAACAAACAAAGTTTGAAGAATAAAGCATTGTGAATAGTCAATAAGAGGACTCTATCCTTTATATCAAGTAAACCTTCATTTAGAGAGTGACATGGAAGATTCTTTCAAAACCTTCATCTGAGCAAGGATGACACATCCTTCTTAAACATTGTCGCTTGGTGTGACATACAGGGTTACATGCAAAGGATGAGACTTCAGTTACGACTATGGAGAATGTAAGCTGACTTAATATACGCAGTTTGCTACAGTTTGAAACTTGTGCCAAATCATTTAGCAGAACATTTAAAGACTATATTTAGTGCACAATATAAAATTCAATCTTCTAACTGTTACATTTAATAGATTTTTGATGATCATTAAAGTCGCATCGCTTTATTTATCATTTCTTTAATTAAAAAAAAAACTATTTTATACATATTTTATTTGAAAGTTAGTCCTGACTGCTCTTTCAACATTCCCTTCTTTTAATTATAATATCTTAGATATTAAATATTGTTTTATTTACATTACAGCCCTAGGCTCTCAGATTTTTGTAAATATTAAAATAATTTTTAATATATTTCCTAGCTCACTCTACACACATTAAAAAATAAAACAAGGAAAGCAGAAAACTGATTTAAATTCTAAAGATTTCACATAATATTTCGTGAAAATATGCAAGTTTATGTAAAAACTTGCAGTTTTCTTTGCAGATTGTTCTTGTTTATACTGTGGCGGTTTTATCACTTTAAATAAAAAAATCATCAAAATTAATAATCTTTTTCATCCCCCCCCCCACCTCATAATATACCTTAATAAATATTTATTTTCCTTTTCTTAACCTGTATATTCCTTTTCTGATTTGTAAATTATTTCTCCTAATTTGTTTATCCCCTTTCCTAAACTGTATATCCCCCTTTCCTAATCTGAATGTACTCTTTCTTATTCTATATATAATCCTTTCCTAATCTTCATATACCCTTTCCTAATC